CACTGCCACATCAACATGTCTTAAAACTCTTCATGGGTGGGAACTCCACCACTGCCCTGGACAACCCTTTCCATGAAAAGATTTTTTTCCAATATCCAATCTAACCCTCCCCTGGCACTGCCTCCCCCTTCCCTTGAGGTCTCTCCCCTGGCACTACCTCCCCCTTACCTTGAGGTCCCTCCTCTGGGATTTGATCCATTCCTGGATGAAATCCTGTGGGTTGTTGCTGAAGCTCAGCATGAAATCCCTCTGTGTCTTCAGCTGGTTGATAGATTCTATGGTCTCGTGAATCTGGGGAAGGATAGGGGTGAGAAGGAGCTGTGTCCTCCCCAAACAGGACATGCTGCCACCACACTCCCCCCAGCCCTGCAGTGTCCCCACCTTGGCATCCAGGGAGGCAATTTCCTGCTGGTTGGTGGTGGAAGCCAGGAAGTTGCTCATCTGAGCTTTCAGGGGATCATCCACCTCCACATCGATGTCATAGCAGGCTGTCTTCTTCTGGTCGTTGGGGTCCACACTGGGAGCACACAGGGTGTTGGGGGCACCTCCTCAGCCTCCACCCTTCTGCAGGGGTGGATCAACCCCCACCAGCAGCACAAGAACCCCCAACTGCCACAGGAAGGCCCCAAATTTATCTGGCTGAATCTTCCCCTCCTAAGTGGCTTGTGCTCACTGATTTTTGGGCTGGAGACCTTGGGAGCCTCCTGCCCCTCAGCCCTGGGGACACTGCCCATCCCACTGCCCACCCCATGGAGCCCCCCCAGCCCTGGGAATGCTGCCTGTGCCCCTGTCCCCACGCACCTGATGGTGTGGTTGATGATGATGGGGTCTGGGTGCTGCAGGAGCCCTGCCAGCTTCATGGGGATCTCGGAGAAACGCATGCGCACACAGTTGAAGATCTGCAGGGGCAAAGCAGAGGTTTGCTGTCCGTGGCAGAGCTTCCTACCACCTCTCCAGGCAGCTGGAGGAACCCCCAGCCCTGATTTGGGCATGGAAGGCAAGCCAGAGCCTGGGGAAGGGCAGGGATGTGTGGCAGGGGAGGAGAGGCCGTTCCTGGCTGGGGGGGTGGGAGGAGCAGGGTGTGGGTACCTGGCGGAAGTAGCGGTTGCAGTTGATGTACTCCTTCTCGTGGCTGTCCTGCAGCTTGTTGTGTTTGATGTAGAGCCACAGAGCCTGCATGATGCTGGCACGGGTCTGGGTGTGCACCCCCAGCAGCCGAGCCAGCCGCGGGTCCAGTTTGTACTGGGGAGGCTGTGGGGGACACAGGGCAGAGTCACACAACCACCGAGGCTGGGGAAGTCCTCCCAGATCACCCAGAGCTCAACCTGTGACCCATGACCACCCTGGCAACTAGAGCAGAGCACTGAGTGCCACGTCCAGTTGTTCCTCGAGCACCTCTAGGGATGGTGACTCCACCACCTCCCTCGGCAGCCTATACAACCCATTCCAGGAAGAAATTCCTTCTGATGCCCAAACGAGTCCCCTCTGAGCAGGTTGTCACTCCAAGATCCATGCCTGGAGCTCCCTGTGCAGCCCCAACCTTGTCCCCAGCCCTCCCAGGTGAGCTGAGCTGCAGGGAGAGCAGCAGCCAGGGCTGTACCTGGTGATCCAGCATGAGCAGCAGAGTGCACTTCACGTTGACATCCCCAGGACGCTTCACCTGGAAGCCGTCGGTCTCCTGTGTCGTGGGCATCCTGTGCCACTGCCAGGGAACAAGGGGACACTGCTCACTCCAGGGCCATGGAGAGGCACCTGCCAACAGGCTTGGTGTGTACTAAGCTGGTGCTTGGGCCCTGGGCAGGGTGCAGCACAGCCAGCCAGCCTGGAGCTCAGCCAGCCCAGGGATGGAGCTGGATGTGCTCCAGCCCAGGGGGGAGCAGCATTTGGATGGGCTGGGGGAGTTCCAGCCCTGAGTGCTTGATAGCAAGAGCTTCAACACCTCCTAAAGTCAACCCTGCCTCAGCCACAGCTTGGCTGCACACCAGAGCTCACTCCCAGTCTCACATGGGATGAAGATTCCCATCACATCAAGCATAGAAATAAACATTCCTCAGGGGAAAAGCAGGAGCTGAGTGCAGGGAAAGCCTGTTCCAGGCAGGAACACCCAACAAAGGTCTGATCCCACTCACAGACAGGGTTTAATCATCTCCCTGAGGACCTGCCAGCTAGACTGGGGGGGAAGGAGGGCAATCCCTTCCTCCCACTTGGCACTGGGATGTGGGGATGAGCCTTCCTGTGGCATCATCTCCTCGTGGGGTCTCTCTTGTGTCAATCTGGGGGTACAGGGCTAACCCTGGGGCCACATCCTCACTGCAGCCCCACACTTGAGGAGCTGTAAACTCCTGCCTGAAAAGCAGAGCAGGCCCCAAGGAAGGCTTGGCACTGCTCCCTGGCACCCAAAACCACCTTACTCATCCCCCTCTCTTGTAGTGGGACAGGCACCCAGAGGGGAAAGAGCAGGAACAGCTCCCTGCTGCCCACCAGGCCCACAGCCCTGCCCGGGACACAGAGCCAAGCCCTCCTGCCTCACCTCCACCAGGTGGTTGTCTGGCCCGTACAGCTCCTTGTCCAGCTCGATGACAAGGCTCTTGAAGAAGGAGGAAAACTTCCTCTTCTGCTTGCTTGGCTGCAAACAGAGCAGCAGAGATTGGAGTGACCCCCAGCCAGGGAGGGCCCCAGCCCAAACCCCTCTCCAGGCTCCATGTCTGCCCTGGCCAAGCTCTCACACAGCACCAGTGTCCTCCTGGATCCTCATCCACCAGTCC